CGGAACTGAAATTTTTAATAACGCATTACGTAGCTACATAGAAAACAAGTAAATATTACAGTAATTAATTGTATTTTAATAAAAAATATTTAATTAAATTTTTAAAAGAATCGATTTTAAGACATACAGATCTTTGAAACATATAATTTATAAAATCAAATAACTTTTAAAATCAACTGGTGTAGATAATACAAAATTAGAAAAGGAATTAGATTAATTTTTGTTAGTATCAAATTTTATTGTATTATTTTAATTAAGTATACAAATCTGTAATCCATTATTATACAATTAATCGTAACATACACACATATACAGGATATCCAGTATTCAATGGTACTTAAAGCACTCGTGGGTAAAATGGTAGGATAACTTTTCGATTTAGTTTAGCCTCTATTTGTCCACGAGCTTTATCATTAAGTATTGGACACCCTATATATATATATTATTTGACTACGCGAGAAATTGATTTATTACTAGTCGACATATTGTTTAAATTAAAGACATCTTAAATCACTATATTTACGCAAAATTTATGTTTCTTTCTTTCGATGCAATCGAAAGACTATTATTATAAACATAAAATATTTTCTAGTATGGAGCAAGGATTAGGCCAACCGGATGCTTTATGGGAAGCAGTAAAGGCTCAAGTAAATAACGAAGGAGTAGATCCAAGCTTAAACATTGATGTAAAATCAGTAATGGATTCTTGGACTATACAAGCCGGATACCCCATTGTGACAATCAACGTCAATGACAACGGTATACTAAGTATTACTCAAAAACGCTTTCTTCTGAGAAATTTGGATAATATTGCTACGGAAAACATTTGGTCTGTTCCGCTCACGTTTACTACAAAAAGCCAAGCAGATTTTACTAATCTGATTCCGAAATATTGGCTGTCTGACAAAGAAAGCACCGCTTCTTACAAAATTAACCCGAATGAATGGGTTATATTTAATCTTCAATCATCAGGTTGGTACCGAAAAATGTTTTTAACAAGAATAACTTACAGAATTACTTGTGAATATAATATCTAATACGTTATTTATTAGATAATTACACTCGTATGTTAATTATTAAATCGTTATTAATTGATAGAATGAAATACATTAAAGGAAAATAATATTTTTTCTAATTTTGTATGTAATATATATTTAAAATATTAAACAAAAACTTTTACAATTAATATCATAAATTTTTTAAGATAAATATTTATGTAAATATTTTATTATAAAAACTAATTTTAATATTTTTATTACAGGCTTTTATC